GCAAATCGCACTCTCGCCTGCATTTCGCGCACTCGACACGCACGATCTCCGCAGAGGGTTGCGCGCGGACCGGACAAATCGCACTCTCGCCTGCATTTCGCGCACTCGACACGCACGATCTCCGCAGAGGGTTGCACTTTCGGTTGACGCTGTTCGTCTCGCCCTCCGCCTTTAAGAGAGAAAGTGGGGAACTGTTTTTTCATTAGGACATCTCCCGTGCTAGTTTTCCATACTCACACTTGCCTACTCATTGCATGCTTGCGTACCCATCACTTGCATACTTACACTGCGTGCTTGCCGAGTGTCAGTGTGTATGTGTAAGTGTCAGTGTCGAAGTGTCAGTGTATGTAGTGCGAATGTGGTGGAAGTGTCAGTGTGTAAGTGTAAGTGTCGAAGTGTCAGTGTTCAAGGGATTTTCCGGAAGAACCCTTCGCAATGCTTTCGGGAACAAGAACCCCACACAACAATGTGGGGGAAAATATTCTAGCCCACTGAGGATGGTTGGGGTGGTGGTAGTAGTAGTAGTAGTGTACTAGTACTAGTACTAGTAGTGGTAGTAGTAGCAGTAGTAGTAGTGGCAGTAGCAGTAGCAGTAGCAGGATTAGGAGACCAAGGGAAGAGGATGGAAGGAGTAGGGGACTAGGAGAGTGTACCTCCCTAGGAACTCCTTCCTGGTAGGGAGCTATTTCTACTGGTGAACCAATTTTCGAGTAGGGCTACTCAATGTTCAATGACTGGACGGCTACCATCATTCGGTACCTACTTTCCTCCCAGGGAGCTGCGTCTAGTAGAGAGCAATCAAGCCTCTATTTGCGCGCAAGCAGGGGACCAGGAGACCGAAAGACGAGCGGAGTAGGAGAGCAAGAGACCAGCGGACCAGGAGACAGAAGGACCAGGATACCAGGGACCAGCGGACCACAGGACCAGAGGACCGGAGACCGGAGGACTACAGTGGACCAAAGGACCAAGGGACCAGGGGACCAAAGGACCAGTGGACCAGAGGGACCAAAGGACCAAGGGACCTTATTACCAGAGGACCCGCAGACCACAGGGCCAGGAGAGCAGCAGAAGAGGCCTATCAAGGAATATGTTTTGATTCACTCTTTATTTTGTTTGATAATCTTTTTATTTGTTTGATGCTCTTTGTATTTTTTGACACCTATGCCAATCTGTAGGCTATCACCTGTGGTGAAGCAGTTGATAAGGTGGTGTTGATTGGTGAAAGGGTGAGTTCTTGCTGCTGAGGTGGTGCATGGTGTCTCGTTTGCTTTCTGTACCTGTGGTCGGTTTTGACCCGGCGACGTGAGGTGGTGAAGAAGCTGGTTCTTACCAGTAAGTTCTGTCCACCTTTGGAACCGTGTCTTCAAACCTTTACCCACCCGATACGCCGATTCTGGCAAGCAGTGCGGTTGCATGCTATAGTCCCGCTTCCACTGACACACTCGACTCAATATGCAGATACATTGCTGGAGAGTAGGCCTAAGGCCCGTCCGGGTACGCCAGAATACGTATTATGCGTATGCACTGTTTCGGCAGTTCTTTTGGTACATCCCATGTTTTTCTCCAAACAGGTTTACCTGTGAGGGGTTCTTACTCCTTTTAAAGGGGTGCATGCTCGGGCCGGATGATTTTGAGTTTGTCTCCGGGCTTGTGTTCCTGGCCGCATGATTTCACCCTTGTCTTTCACTTGTCTCCCACTTGTCTCCCAGTAAGCTCTACATGCTCTCAGTGCTCTGGCCGCGTGATTTTATACTTGTCTCCCATTTGTCTCCCACTTGTCTCCCAGTTGTCTCTCGATGCTCTCAGTGCTCTGGCCGCATGATTTCAGGCTTGTCTCCCATTTGTCTCCCACTTGTCTCCCACTTGGCTCCCAGTAAGCTCTGGATGCTCTGAGTGCTTGGCCGCATGATTTCACACTTGTCTCCCATTTGTCTCCCACTTGTCTCCCACTTGTCTCCGAGTAAGCTCTGGATGCTCTCAGTGCTCTGGCCGCATGATTTTATACTTGTCTCCCATTTGTCTCCAGTTGTCTCCCACTAAGCTCTCGATGCTCTCAGTGCTCTGGCCGCATGATTTCAGGCTTGTCTCCCATTTGTCTCCCACTTGTCTCCCAGGAAGCTCTGGATGCTCTGAGTGCTTGGCCGCATGATTTCACACTTGTCTCCCATTTGTCTCCCACTTGTCTCCGAGTAAGCTCTGGATGCTCTGAGTGCTCTGGCCGCATGATTTCACACTTGTCCCCCACTTGTCTCCCAGTAAGCTCTGGATGCTCTGAGTGCTCTGGCCGCATGATTTTATACTTGTGTCCCATTTGTTTCCCACTTGTCTCCCAGTAAGCTCTGGATGCTCTGGCCGCATGATTTCACACTTGTCTCCCACTTGTCTCCCAGTAAGCTCTGGATGCTCTGAGTGCTCTGGCCGCATGATTTGATACTTGTGTCCCATTTGTCTCCCACTTGTCTCCCAGTAAGCTCTGGATGCTCTGAGTGCGTTGGCCGCATGATTTTATACTTGTCTCCCATTTGTCTCCCACTTGTCTCCCACTTGTCTCCCAGTAAGCTCTGGATGCTCTCAGTGCTCTGGCCGCATGATTTTATACTTGTCTCCCATTTGTCTCCCACTTGTCTCCCAGTTGTCTCCCAGTAAGCTCTGGATGCTCTCAGTGCTCTGGCCGCATGATTTCATGCTTGTCTCCCATTTGTCTCCCACTTGTCTCCCAGTAAGCTCTGGATGCTCTAGTGCTCTGGCCGCATGATTTTATACTTGTCTCCCATTTGTCTCCCATTTGTTTCCCACTTGTCTCCCAGTAAGCTCTGGATGCTCTGAGTGCTCTGGCCGCATGATTTCACACTTGTCTCCCACTTGTCTCCCAGTAAGCTCTGGATGCTCTGAGTTCTCTGGCCGCATGATTTCACACTTGTCTCCCACATGTCTTAGCCCTATGTCACAACCTGGATCCATAAATTTCATGTTTTAGCCCTTGTACGGCGTCCCATTGTAAAGTCAATGAAAAAGCATAATTTTAATTCTTTCCCTTTGAATCTTGTATGTGCGTCTACATGGTGGACTATAGTTTTCTTCCTCTAGGAAATACTGCTGGCCATATTGTTCGGAGATCTCATTTTTGAACATTGCTCTGTTTGGGGTCTACGCTGGTATAATTTAATCTGCATTTTAGGCATTCACTGTATCAGCGTACTGCCTCGACTGTCATGATCAATCATGTGTCAACGTCCCTCGGTGCTAATTGAAACTCCAGACAGGATCAGGTCATTTGTGAGGTTGCACAAGTTTGCCAATGGAGCATGTTTTTATTCCATGTGCATGTGAGTCTGAATGTGCCTCAGCTGGTGAGACCACAGTGAAAAGTGCAAGTAGGGCATACATGGGCACTCAAATTGTTGGTTCAACACTTCAATAATGCTCTTCCGGTCTCAACTATATATTGACTCGTAACTCGCACATCCCATCTCCGTGAGTGTGGTGCTCTTGACTCTGCGGCACAAGTAGGAAAGGGGGCGCACCCCAAGGCTCACAGCAGTGTCGCTGGCAAGGTCACTGTCCAAATAGCCCACAGGATCTGAATCCTGAGAATGAGGGCAGGACAAATTATCGCAGGCCGACCATTAACAGATAGCAGACATTTGAGGTGCCCAAAGTCCAAGCTTCCGTTGAATCGTCGCATGTTGCCAAGCTCTTCAGCGAGTCCTTCCTGACCTCAACCTCCTGCAAAAAAACACGGAGACACATGAAGCGAAGCACTGATATAGAGATGTCCTGCAAAAGCCCAGATGCCACAGTTGCCTCAGGACAGAGCCGGAGCCATCACAAATCGCTGAAATTAAAGCTGAAACCTCAAACTTCTTGCAAATCTTGACAGTCTTAGCGCAACAAGGTGCAGCAGACCGAAGTTCTGGCTCTGCAAGGAATAAAGGTGAACATGGCACCTTTATGCCATCCTGCGCCACAAAGAGCTTCGATTCCACTGTTGACCGATTGAATACGTGTGGAATCTGCACAACACAATCCAAAGGCACGGGAGCAGCATCTGTCCCGATTCAGCTCTTTACAACGTCGATCCACTGCATGGACCCATCGTCTGAACTCTGACGGCACTAGGAGGCTCCTCAGCTCTTTGGCTTCTGCTTCTCTTTGCTCCATACATCGTGAAAAGAAGCCAAGACTACCAGCTTTACGAAAGCTCCTGTGACATCTGTGCTAAGTAGTTGCAGTGAGTACTTAATAGCACAAGCCGACCTGAAAGTACTGGCCTTCTGTCTTTGTACCTGACACACTTGCTTTAGTTATTTTCATTGCCTTAGTCAAAGTCAGCTCAATGACCTGCTACACTCGGTTTGCTAGCCGCTAAACGCAAACTTCGCAGCAATCCACTGCCCCCCTTGAGATATGTAGAAAAATATTTTGGTGAAAACGCTGGACAGCCATAAATCTGTTGTGTTTCCTGAGTTGTTTGTTGCGTCCGAAGGCACATTATCCACCGCGGCAAGAATGGGATATATGGGTCCATGGCCGTGGTTGTCGTGAAAGTTACTCCTCTACCATCAGCATCCTGAAGCACATCGGTCCAATAGCATTTCGGGAGGAAACGCTGGGGTGGATTTGCTGCTGTGCTGGCTTTTTTGGTTTCAATGGCTCAGGGCTCACAGTAGGTTGTCACTTGTCACATCTTCATCTGAAGATTCTGAAGAGTCTGAGACATTAAAACTTAAGATCTACCAATTTTGATAATACTGATCTTTGGCCTGTTGCTTGTGAGGTTTAGCAAGAATCCCGCCTGCGTGATCTGATGTGCTGCTACGTACTGTTTCGCTCTGACGGCGCGAGTTGGCGGATACAGGCTATCATCCGCAGAGCGGCTATAAAACCTCGTCAAGGAAGCTACGCATCTCTAGCAAGGTCCTTTTCATTCAGATCACAAGTCCAATGGTTAAAATGTTGACACAAGCGACAGCTAAAAGCTACTCTGCAGTCAGGTGTCATTAGCCCGCGGCCACTCTCATGCCGGAACACTGTATGGTGCATCAAGAAATCACGGTCTGCCAATGGAGGTGCCTGGTCAACTAAAATGTTGAATCTTCACTTCTCTTTGATTAAGTCTTAACGGTACGAACGCTGGAAGTCACATTGCCTCAAAGGATGGGTGAACCGACCGCGCTGCGACTTTCTTACTGGCTCTTGGCCCCTCGAAGGCCAAGGCTCGTGGCATAATCTCCCAGCACTGGGTATCCAAAACCCACGGTGAACCCACTACTTCCAAATGTAATGCAAGCTTCAAGGCGATCGGCGAATTTGCACACTAATGGCCAGGAGCCTTGCGACCGCAGGCGGAGCAACAAGTCTACAAAACACCTGCCGTAGTACCCAAGCATAAAAGGAACCTTGCAAGCCCTGCATGAGGCATGACGGCCAAGCAAGGATGAACCTCCGCCAATCCTGCCGTGGGCAAGGCACTAGACAGAGCCCCGGCTGATTACTTTGACATGTCCAGCACCAAGAAGTGTCTGAACGATGCAACCTTGAAAACACACCACCTGAGCCGCTGGAGCACCCCACCCCACCTATGAAGCGGACCGATTCACCAGCCCGAGCACTTAAGCAGCTGAAGCAAAGCCTTCATGTGAGCAAGGAGCGACATTACTGAATAGACGTCCACAATTCTGGACGTCGTGGACAGTCCTGGCGACAGCCCTGATGACTCTGATGGTCATGAGACCCGACCACAGGCCATTGCGCAGCCACCAACATGAGCGACTCCACTTCACAAGCCAGCCCTGAACAGGGAGCACGCTGAGAACACCTTCACCGCGGACTACTTCTAGCACTGCAGTGGGGTCTTGATAGCGGCGGTCATCCAGAGGCAGAACTGATCCATGCAGCCAAAATACGCCAAAGGCCATAGGACAAAAACCATGCAAAAATACAACACAAAATGCATATAGAAATACGTCATGTCATTTGCTGGACAAGTGGCGTGGATGACAGAATACAGAAGGTCGTTGCCTTTTTCGTGGTGCCTTGGTTGGCTGGCCGGTTGGCCGATTTTATCGACTCTTTTCTACGACTGTACGTAAACTATCGCAGCGGTGTGCCGTAACACTTTCGATTCAGCAAGGGTGCAGAATTTTGAATCCATCCATTTGTTTGTCCCATCCTGCTCGATCTGCAAAATGCATGTGGCAGTGGGCAACCTCATTCCAACAATGCCAAGCAAGCTTCCAGGGCCTGAAACACCCAAGCCGTGTCCAAAAAGAACTGCCCAATTGAAATTTGCCAAGCGCCTGCGCTGCAGTCGCATTTGCCACACGCCCAGTGAGTTTGACAAAGGCGCTGCCGCCAAACAGGCTTCGGTCTCTGTGTCTCCGCACCTTGGCAAGCACTAGTAACCTCTACGTGGCTGCATGCCCACAGCTAAATGATAATGTGAGCACGCGCAAGCGTCAAGCGTGCATGCACACATATATATATATATATCACATACAAGAATTGCGAGCGCCTTGCCCACAGGCACGGGCATAATTTTATACTGCACATATGGCTTGACGAATCTGATTCTTCCGATTCCCAGGGGCACGTAGCTGACACGAACAGTCCGCTCGTATGTCCGATATAATGCACATATGCACGTGCATGTATGTATGTATGTATGCATGAATGTATGGATGCATGGATGGATGGATGCATGCGTCTCGATGGGCGAGCGCGTCACAGAATTGCTCTCCTGCCTCTTGCTGGGGGAGTCTTTCTTGGAATTGAATGGAGTGTCTCGTCGTCAGTGAGAAGATGTGGTGGGAGACTTTCATCGGGGCAAACTGAGCCTGGCAGTCTGATCGGCTTTTGCGAAAACTAGCACGTCAGGCTTCAGGTGAATATCTCTGCCTCTAACTCAAAGCATTCTTCGCAGACGTGCAGTATGCTAGGAGGACTTTAAAGATCTTGATAGTTGGTGATTTGGTACGCCTGCTCATGTTTACTCAGCATATGTTGGACTACTTTACCTAATTGACAATGTCATGTGCTCCTGGTTGCGTCGGAAGCTGTTGGAGGGCCTGCGCGCTTGTTCGAACTGCCGTACATGTTGATGAACCAATTGCAGAACCGGGCATTGGTCCAAACTTTCTTGAAGGTCTTGCCGAGGTGAGTATGCATATATGTGTGTAATACCTCCGTCTACCTGCCTATCTATTACAGCACTGTGTAAGTAACTAATCTGTCTATGCACCGTATCCATACGACCTTCGGCCTATGTGTATACTGTATACGTACAGTTTTCTACAAGGTCAGGCTCCTCGTTTCCCCTACCGCAACTCTTGTTCTGCGCCAACTCTCAGAAAGCCCTGATAGTGCATCCCAAGCGTCATGAGTCAGATCATCTGATTGAATCGTCTCCCAGACCTCGTCGCCTGCATCTGTCAGCCATAAAAGCCTCAAACAGTCCGTTTGGAGGACACATGAGGAGAAGGCTCCAAAACAAGTTGCTTAACTTGATGGCGACCAAACATTAATGACTATACGTTCTCCAAGGCACTGTTCAACTTCATGCTGTGTGATGAGACGCGTGGCCTGAACAAAGGAAATTGCACTGTCAGGTGTGGCTCCAGACGGGAGGAGCCTGCCTGTGTTTCTGATAAAGTAAGTGTGCATGTTTTGATGCATTGAAGAAGGTGCTAAGAGAAACGGGCTTTTCGAAAAAGACCCGCGTGAAGAAGTCGAAGTTGAACACAGTAAAGCAATATTTTGGAATGCCTTATCATGTGTGGAAATGTCATTAGCAGATTTACCAGCACAAAACGCCGCGTCATCAGTCAAGCGACTTTGTGACGTCGATGACAATGTTGTGAATTTGGCTACCCCCCACCCCACCCCCCAACCCATTTCAATCACACGACTAATCAGCAAGGTTCTCGCCCTTTCTTTTTCCAGCCAGCGTCTCAGGCTTGGTGTGTGGTGGAAACATGGCCTTTTTGGCACTTTGCTCCCACGCAAAAACTTGCAGCCAACAGCAGGTCGAAGCGGAGGTGAAAGGGGTGGTGGAGGGATCCTTGAGCGGAAACGACGGTTGGTCATCTTGCTATTGTGCCAGCAAGGTTCTCGCCCTTTCTTTTTCCAGCCAGCGTCTCAGGCTTGGTGTGTGGTGGAAACATGGCCTTTTTGGCACTTTGCTCCCGTCTGCCCCTCTGATCCGGTCGAGGTGACTTCGTGAGCCTGCTGTTGGAATAAAAGGTTCCACACTTTTTCAGGGAATCTGGCATTGAAGAATCTGATGCTTTCTTGTAGTACTGTCGTGAAGGCTTCCATCGCGGTCAGAATCAACTGTCGGGAGGAGTCAGGGATGTCTGTCATGAAAGTTGCTGCCGCCACCTCCTGGAGGTAAATGTCCATCACTTTCAAAGAGACCCATCGGCCTCTGCGCCGCACAACTTCTGCAGATTCTGTCAAGCTAATTAAGTATGTAGCCCCTCCGGGCCTGAACGATGCAAGCGTCAGAGGTTTCTGCTGGTTCGTCATCTTAATCGGCAGGCCCAGCTTCAAAAGAACTTTGTCCAGCCTGTGCCTCAGAGTTGATGGAGATCCAGGCCAGATCTTCTCATGAGGCTGTAGTCTGCCAATACCCATCCAGGCAACCATGATCAGGTCAGGAGGCTCAAGCTTGCTGGATTGATGCCGAGCTGCTCGAAACCTGGTTTTCGGCTCCAGGATGCGAATGAGGACGTGGTCTACAGAAAATCTGACGTCCTGTGGAAAAATAACATCTTTCCTGCGGGCGTTGATGATCTCCCCGCTTCTCAAGAGCATACCCCAGCACATTGCAAAAATAGCAGCTTCCCTGGTCCAGCCCCATATGAGGCAGGTGGAGAGAACTGCTAAGAGCAATTGCACCGGCATCGCCCGATGATGCTCCACTGGCTCAAAAGAGGACCACATTGCACATAGATCCCATGCTTGCTGAAGCGACCTCCTGAGGATCGGACGGCGAGCACTGACCAAATTAATGGTCTCGGACAGATGATAGTACGGCTTCCCAGCAGAGAAGAGGTAGCGCCCATACCTGGTCAAAACAGCATTAATCCTGTCCAGGTCAGGAGGATTGGCATGGAAAATCATGTCAAAACTGAGCCCTTGATTTCGCAGCCATCCCTCGAAAACTGCAGCGAGTTGGCTCCGAACTGAAACGGTCAGAGGAGTCAACCTTCGTCCATCCGGCAGTTCGAGGCCAGCTCTCTGCCTCTGCCGCTCAGCATCACCATGGCTCACCCCTACCGCCCGATCTACGTCCATTGAGGCGAGGATCCAAAGAAAACCAAACCACCGGTAGGGCCTAGGTCCCTCCCCAGGGAAACCCAAAGTAGAGTCAAAATCCATGAGAAGGGGAGGGTCAAAAGCAACGAGGGGACCATAGCGCCTAAGTGACGAATGATCTGAGAAGAAGCCAATCCAGCAGGGGCAGAGCAGGATGCAAAGACGGAGCCAGTTCGATGCCCACCTCCGAAGGCTACGCACAGAAGCCAACCACCTCAGTTCCTCCTCGTCAAGAGCATCGACCGAAGAAGCAATTGGCGGCAGAATAGCAGCATCTCTGGTAGGATGATCTGCTGGATTGAGTCTGGTAGGAGCAAACCTGCCAGCATGGTAGAGTCCATAGGCGACGGAAATTGTGCTAGCCCTTTTCAGGAGCATTCGGAGAGCGCCAGAAGCACTTCTACCTCTGATCAAAGCGCATAGCGCCACGTTGGAGTCAATGAAGCTCACAAAGCGCAGGTCTCCACCTCTAATTGCCTCTGCTTCAAAAGCTCTGAGAGCAGCCGCCATCTCAAGGATGTTGATATGGGAGGAGCCTCTCCATGACCAACTTGCTGATACCCTCCAGACAGCTGAGAGCAGTACCTCATTGGACAACTGATCTTCAAGGCCTGGAGCTTGTTTCAGACCAGCAATCTCTTCTTCGACTTTCAAAATGTGGCGGGCAAAAACACGAGCCAAAGCCGTTGCGAGGCCCGGAGTGTAGGTGGCACTGGGCTTAGTGAACTTGCCTTCAATGCGAACATGCCTGTGGTCTCGGGAACACCTCCTGCTCAACGACCTGGCATTCATACTCACAACCATAAGAGCAAACTCCTTCTGGTGGGGCGAGCCATATGCACATGATGCGAGGTGTATCTCATCAGCTCCTAGGACCCGAAGCCGAATCCATTGGGGAGTCCAGCGAAGTTTTGATCTCCTAGGTGTCTCCATCATCGCTGGAGTTTTTGTTCGTTTTCCAACCATCAGCAGGCCCATGCAGGAAAAAGCCATGTCATTCCCATGCACTACCCGAGGATGCTTTGGGTCAATGCCCAAGGGCTTCTTGTAGGTTCGAAGGCATGGATGAGCTGCAGGACTGAACGTAGTGCAAGGGGGGGGCAGCCATGAAAGAGCGAAGGCGCCCTTCTTCGCACATAAAAGCAACCCAGGAAAAGACACGTCGATCTGTGATGTCAAACCTCCTGGAATAGCTGATGTCAAACACCGGCCCACAGACTGCTCCAAGTTTGATGAGCTCCTCTGTCACGACACCAGCCCCTCCACACAACTCAATGAAGTCATACCTGAGGCCAACAGGCCTGGGCACACTCTCCTCAGTCCACTGTAGATCGTCCTCCTGCTCGACCTCCTCAAAGTCAGCATCTCTGATACGATGTAGAGCAGCAGTCTTCGTCTGAAGCTTTAGGTTCTTTGCTTTCTTTGGGGCTGTCCTCCACAGAACTCTTGACAGCCTCTGATCAACAGGGGCCGAGACCAGCCCACCTTTAAGGGATGAGGAGTCAGAGGCATAGACTGTGTCGGAAAAGGGCACTGCAATGTTGGAGGCGGCCACCGGAGCCAGACATGCTAAGACTAGCAGCTCTTCCGCAGCGCATCGAGGCAGAGGATGTAGAGAGGACCTTTCAGGATCCAAAACCTCCGGAGGTATCACTGAGAAGAGCCTGTTGACATGGGCCATCATCGGCCTCCGATAGAGCAGAGCGGAAATCCAAGACCCCAGGAGGGACGAGTGTAGGGAGTCGGAAGTGTAAGGTAGGCCAGCTGCAAGGGCGCTGAGCATCATCAGACCAAACCTCTTGTCGGCAGGAGCACCCAGGCTGACAATACCTCTTTTGACCATCTTCTCTGAAGAATTTACTTCAGCCCCAATGACCTTGTAGTGCAGGGAGTCAGCAATCTCCTTGTCGTCTGACCCTAATATACCTTCTCGCTTGTATGCCTCGCGGGCCCGCTCAAGGAAGACCCGAGAAGCGCTTGGCCCCTCATAGGTGTCACCACGGGCATACGCGATCTCCTCCGCTGACAGTGCAAAGAAATCATCTATGACCAAGCCGGTAACTGGCTTATTGTGCAAGATAGGTTGGGAGGCACAAAGTCGATTGCAGCTCGGGTGACATCCAGACTCCTCCAGCATTGTCTCATGAGCACAACAAGCAACCTCGACTCCAATGTGATCCCCTTGGAATAGGGCACCAAAACTGGCGTAGACCAGGCTTGAGTCCTCTGTAGGCACCAGCAAAGGCCTTGGAGCCCCAAGAAAGTCACCTGTCTCCTCCCTACCTCTTCCTCTCCTTGTGCCGAAGTCCCTCTGAAACACCTCATAGGCAGAAGTTCCTTTGAAGTCCCCCAAGGAGAAAGGAGGGAAGACTGTGTTCGTAGATGATCTTTCATAGGTCGTGCTGAACTGGTGGTAGAAGTCCCGTCTGTCTGCAATGGCCCCAACCAGGACCTCCTCAAAACGCTTTGTCTCAAGCTGCAGAAGGGAAGTTGCATTCGGAATCTCGTGAGATGGGCCTCCTTCAAGTTGACCCTCAACGTAGTTTCTTCCCCGGCGGTCGCCTATCTGACGGTCAACATCCGCGTTCTTGAAGTTCCCAAACACCTTTGTATGGAGATGGCGCTCCCCCCTCCCAGGACCAAGGTCAGCAGGAACAAGCCGTAGGAGACCATTTGCATCCCAGACACGGCAAAGATCATATACCTGTCCGGCCTCCTCCTCTTGACTTCAGGAAATGCACCTCGAGGTGGAACAATGTCAAACCTGATCACCTCCGGTTCCACGAAGGGCATGTAGAGAAGATCGGACAGGAAATCTGAACAGTCCCAATTGCCTCTGCCGGTTAGCTTGATCCGGGAGGCATCAAGTGCTCTGTAGGGGCGAAGCTCATCACAGAGAGTGTTGTTCTCGGGCACTACCACCCCAGCTGCTCCTCTGTGATACAAAGATGCCGAACTTAGCCCCAGCACATCCAAACTTTCTCTCAACTCTCTCAAATGTGCATCTAATTGAAACTTCTTCCGTCCACAGCCAGCAAGAGACATGAATGCTGGTGGGCCGCACGCCTCGAAAAACGTCAAGATGCGAGCATAAACTGCCCGATGATGAGCACCTGGACGTCTCCGGATGAGCCGTAGAATGGACATTGGTTGCCGGAAGTGCTCATAGTTCAAAGTCATGACAGTGAGGTGCAAGAGCTTCCTCACAGCATGCAAATGGCGCTTCTTCTTGCTGCTCAAATCCGGGCCATCACCAAAAATGCCTACGAAGGGCAGAGGGATGGGGAACAAGGCGGTTGCGATGCTGTCATCACGACCATCGCGGCTGGCTGAAATTGTCTGCATAACAAAGTACGAAAACCGAGTCCGAGAGGCAAGGAGCTGGCGTAGGAACTGATGCACCCAGCAAACAAATGGCACCGGTGTCATCAAAGGCCTCACCAAGGTAGGACTGGTAGAGCTTGCATCTAATTTGACCGTGTCCTTTGATCCAGCACCGGAGGCAGAATCATTGCCCTGCTTTCCTGACGTGGATCGACCAACAGCTTCATCTGCCAAAAGAACCTCTGGCATGCACCCGTCATCTTCAAATGGCATACCATTATATCTATCGAGGGGCCCACCTGGCACCCTACTCACATGCCCCTTTTGGCCGCCGCACGATGCATCAAGCTCCCATGGTTCCTTTCCCCTCCTCTGATGTCCCCGACTGAATAAAGCGGTAGGCCGCTCTGAGGAAGAAGAGCTCAGCAAGGGGCATGCAGAGAGGGTACAGGGAGACCCAAGACACAAGCACTGATTTGGAGCTATGTTGATGCATTTTCTGTGTTGGCGGAAGCGGCCTTTGCCTTTGGGAATCTCCCCTTCTTCTTCAGGGGCGGCTGATTGCTTGGAGGGCTCGCATGAGGGCCAGCCTTCGGATGGGTCAGCTCCATTCTCTTGGTCTGGATGTAATCCATCTCTTTGGAATAGGCCAAAGCAACAGTAGTCCATTGCTGGGGAGCCAAAGCCGAGAAGCTCTTTGCCCTTGGATCGTAGCTCATGTTGCGGTAGCTCCACAACTGGGATGGCGGTTCTTCCAAGAGCATCATCCTGTAAGCTAACTCCCAGCGATTCCCGTCCAGATTTGCTTGATCCACTCCGACCATGAGGAGGGCAAGGTAGTCTCGTGCTCCATTGAGGTCCGAATGGACAAGAGCATCGAAAATGTGAGCAAGCGCATACTGGATCAGACCCAACTCTTTGTACTGCCCGTAGCCGCCGAATCGTTCGAGGTACTGAATCATCGAAAAGTCGGTGGCAGCGATCTCCTCCACTGAGCCCGGCTTCGGGCTGGCAGGTTTCAGCCTCTTTGCAGCATTTTGCAACACAGCAAGATAGAAATTGCCTGACTTCATCGCCAACTCTCTTTGCAGCTTTTCGCATCCAGCCGAGCCTCTGGTTCCTAATGACCCGCTCGATGAGGATCCCTGCCCATCTAACAGTGGATCTCCACCCTGTTGCATATGAGCGACGAGGGTCATCAGCGCCTTGCTCTGCTCCAACATAGCCTGCGTGAAGGGACTGGCATGAACTGTAGGGCCGTTCTCCTCTGCAAAGGCCTGAGGAGGGACACATCCATCGAGACCAGAATTTGGCATAGGCATCGCCGGAGTCACCGGCACATGAACCAATGGCTTGGTTCGCGGAGGGGAGCCCATCATCTTGGCAAAAGAAGCCACACCCTTCACGGTCTCGGCCACAGGTGCCTGACTGGCCCGAAGAGGAGGGGCCTTCCGGTTCTGCTCCACTGTCTCCTGTAAAGCCACCTGGCTTTTCTGAAGATCTGATATCTGTTCGGCCATGGAGGGGATCAGTTCCATGAGGCTGGATAGCTGGTCTGAGAGCACAGCCGTAGTGACCCTCTTCTTGGGCGGGTCCTTCGTCTTCTGCTTGCCAGGCGGTTGCTCTGGTGGAGTGATGCCTGCCGCCTGTTCTCTTCTTGGGGGCAGCGGAGCTGCCACTGCCGCGGGAAAGTCCGCCTCTTCGTCCGCAGAGTAGAGGGCGACCCTCTGACCTCCATGAGTGACGAGCCAATTTCTGACACTCTCTTCCAGCAAGGCAGGATCTGGTATGATGTCCAAGTCCTCGCCAAAACCTATGAGCCCCTGATCCTCTGATTCTGGGACTAACGAAAGGGGCGTCAGCGCACTGAGGGCATCGGCTCCAAGATCCACTACCTGGACCGCGACATCGGTGCCCAGATGTTCTATTCCTCCATCTGACATTCTGACTGCTGGCAACTCGAACTGAGCATGGGGCCCAATCACATCTGACTCCTCGGGCTCCAAAGGAAGGCTGCCTGCTGGGACCAAAGCTGTTGGCATTGCAACTAACACTCCACCGCCTGCAGCATGCCTGACCATCACAATCAAACAGATCCCTGGCCGGGCTTGGACCAGAAGAGGGTCCGGTGGCCAGAAAATTCTGAAGAGCTCCACATTCTCGTCTACTATCGGCACTATGCCGTCTAACTCCATTGATACACCTGCTCAGGGTAGGGCACGTCGGCCCCAAGACAGTACACTCTGGCCTCAGCCTTCGATGCAAAGCCGTGAGAGACGCTGGTGTTCGGTGATCCAGAAAAATCACCCAAGAGGGCACGGTAGTCCGAGGCCTTCTCAACCCGGACCGGAGAGCTGACACCTGCTGCACGTAGGACCACGTAAGTGGTATTTGCCAAATCGCAAGGGGTGGTAGGACGTGGTTTGCTGACTCGACCCTGAAGACAGAATCTAGCCCAATACCCTGCAGTCCAAGCCCGCTCTGCTCTCTGCTTGAAGCTGAGCTTTCCTCCTCGAAGACTCCCACACAGGCGAAGAGCTTCAGAAGGCAAGTCAGGAATCTCAAGTGCCAAGGAATTGTAGATCGATGAACTCGAAGATGTTCTGGCCGGGCTCGAAGCACGTGGAGGCGAGGACACGAGTTCAAAGCCGTCGTGATGTCCTCGTTCCAGCTCAACAACCTTCTTTTCCAAGATCTCGACCCTGATGAGTAACTGCTGAACCTGGAGTGAAAGCAGCTCAACAGTTTGGTCACTCATGCAAGTAGGCCTGGATCCGCTGTAGCCCAGGAGATGCTCCAGGAGAAGCCCTAGGAGCAGAGGTGGTGCCAGGGATCGATGATCCCACAAAGGACAAGCCAAGGCGCCAGGCCAAGAAGCAACAGGCACCAAATCCAAGGAAGCAGCCAAATCCAAGTCCAGCGAGAAAGGAAAAAGCAAGGGAGGTGAAGGAAGGATGACCGCAGTGACTCGGGCAACCTAAACCCCACCAATTCGTTTGGACCCCCAGCCTCAGAAAATCCAAAATGGACGAAACTGAAAAAGCTGTGGACATACGATCCTTGAGCGGAAACGACGGTTGGTCATCTTGCTATTGTGCCAATGACAATGTTGTGATGTCGATGACAATGTGGTTGCTTCTAGGATTGCTGAAGTCCCCAGAGAACCCCCCGTCCAGACCCTCAGGGGTTGTGCGGCCATATTCGTCCAATTGCAGCTGAGAGTCGCTGGAGGAGGAAGACAAGCGAGTTATCAAGTCTACATTGTCCTGGGCATTCAGAGTCCAATGTGAACGACGTGAACGAACAAAAGTGAATGCCCAAACGAAACACAACCGTATCCAAGCCTCCTCCGATTCACAAGTCGTCTGGAAGCTGGCAAATGTCTCTTCAGCCATCCGACCTGGTGTCCTGCGCTCAACTTACAAGGACGAGCAGAAAAAGAAGACTTTAGACAAAGTTGGAATCAAGCGATGGAACCCTCTTTGCGCCTCTCATTGCCAATTGCAGACAGCCCATCAGGTACAAGTTGCCAAGGTCCTGCCTGCTCAGACCGCAAGCGAAAGGACAGACTGACTGGCAAACAAGGAAAAGACAGAAAGCTGGTAGGGCCAAAGACAACGCACTTGCAAGGGAAAGAAGAACCAGCCCAGATCAATATGTACGCAACCTGTGCTTGATTGAAACCCGAAATGTGCACGCAAAGGTGAACCTATGCACACAAGCTAAAGGGCAAGCGCATGAGCAATGAAAACTCTTGCCGGCCCACCGTCGAAAGCAGCAAATCAAGGACCCACAAGCTCAGCAGCTCCGTTTTTGCCAATGGTTTGTTGAACTCTGTTCTGCCTTTGATTGTCTTACTATGATCTGTGTGCATTCTTCGTGCTTGTCAGCCGCCTTTGAGATTTGCTTGCGGTTTCTTGCGACGTTTTACCGAGATAGCTCTCTGTGTGCTTTGGAGCTTGGATGCTGGTGACGCTGCAGGGTGCCGCTGCAGGGTGCGGCTGGCTGTTCACATCTACGCCAAATGAAAAACATACATAGTAGTTGGGTGCTGCCCAGGAATGTTTTTTTGGCTATGCTAGCGCAGTGTGTTTTGCTTCCTGCTTCGCAACCTCCCAAAGCTGGCCGACCTAGTCAACCGCACTGGAAAGCATCCTGCCTTTCCCATCCCTTCAGAGCTTGCAGAAATCGCCTATAGGATACCTCTCAAAGGTTTCACAACTCAGACCCTTTTGATTTGGGCAATTGTTGATCCTTCGTGCTTTCTGCTGAAAAGAATCCACGCTGGCTGTGATTGTATGGACACACGGCAAGGAAACAAAAGCAAAAAAACTGCTACTCTTTGGGAAAAGGCAAGCACGATTCATTGGTAGAAAAACTTGCCCCCTTTAAAACCCACCCCCTGTTGCCTTTTAAAGTTAAACAATGGATTGTTTTTGCCACCCTGGATTGACGGCTTCCCCACATGCACCCATCAATCCCGCTGCCCTGATCAAATCTTTATTGGCATTCCGTACAAGACCGATTTTCTTTTTACTCTGCCGAACCAAGTTCCAACTCAAAGACTTCAAGTGACAATCGCCACGCGAATTGGCATTTTCTCCAGGAACGCCTGCCACGTTTCTTCTGCGAGTGCCATGTCGTGGAGGTTGGCTGGACCTGCTTGCAGGTTTAAATCCAGAAACAAAGATGAAACTGCCAAACCATATCAGAAGATGTGCATAGATTTACAGATCAAAGCTATTTGCAGCATCTGAGGGACACCTGACGGCAGAGACACTGCTGTGATAGTCTCGAGTCTTGAGCCCCAGTGCGTGCTGCGGAGGACAATCAGTGGTGTCCAAAGGTCTGAGGATCATCCACTCAAACTTGCTCGGCGAGAATGATTTCCAATGTCTGCGACAACTATGTCCAAAGACGGCCGGTGAGACTGCATCGCAAGATGTATATAAATATGAATTTGCGCTAGTCGCAACAAAGATGGCCAATCAACGACATGAAGGAAAAACTCGCCAATCTTCAAGTTTACCTGGAACAAACTCACAGCCACCAGAAAAACGAGATGTCTCTCCAATATCTACTTCACCCCGCCCTATTGGCAGAATAAAGCAGCGCCGGAGCTTAAAATGGGCTCTGCTGACAAACAAACCACTCCAAGCAGCACACTTGGAGCAGATTCCTGGGAGCCAAGAAAACTGAAGCTAAGCCACTCAAGAAATATACTTGACATAAACCTTTGCGCCCTGAGGGGGCAAGCCGCCTCCGCTTTTCATCTCAGGTGCAGTCATGAAGCCTTTTCTCCAGCATCTTTCCCGAAGGTCTCATGGATCGGGTTCTGCCTAAACATTGTCAACAAAAGGATGGACTTGAAATGAAAATACGGTGGAAGACACCAAACACTAGAAAGAAAGTGACCAGAAAGGCATGGAAAAACATGCAACGAAAAGAGCTCAATTGCAATGAAAGGAAGGCCAAGTGACTTCCAACGAATACATGGAGGGGGGAAGAATATGCAACAAAAGACATAGGAATGGCTCGAAACGAACGGATGGACTTGAAGCGAAAGACAAGTCTTGCTACGAAAGGACTTGAAACTAAGGACTATGGCATAGAACTCCCGGGGCCTAGCCTAGGCATAGGCCTATCCTAGGCCCATGCCTACCCTAGGCATAGGCCTATCCTAGGCCCATGCCTACCCTGGGCACAGGCTCCTGGGCCCATGCCTACCCTGGGCATAGGCTTATCCTAGGCCCATGCCTATCGCTAGCCATAGGCCTATCCTAGGCCTAGGGTATCCATAGGGGCCGATGCCTAGCGCTATCCTATCCCAGGCAGGCCTATCCTAGGCCTATGCCCAGCACTATCCATGGGCGCCTATCCTAGGCCTTGCCATCCTAGCCTCGCAGCCCACCGACGCTGCGAAAAGGGGAGGGAAAGCAGCAGAGCAGCACCACCGTGAGGGGCGCGCAAAACGTCGGTGGAGCTAGCCGACCTCTATCTTCCTCCCGCTCCTTCTCCCTTTCTCCCGGGAGGGAGGGAAAGCAGCAGCAGCACCACCGTGAGGGCGCGCAAAACGTCGACGATTCGTGCGCCCCTCCAAATTGGAGTGGCCATAGTCCCGCTCTTTCTCCCTCTCTCCCTCACCCTGCCCTTTCGGGTGGCCGGAGACCCCATGACCTCTCCCTCCCTTCCCTGCCTCCCGTCCGTCCCCCTCTCTCCGGCACTGCTTGGACTGCAGGATGTGGCCCGGCATGACCTGGCACGCAACTGGCCCCGAATACCGGCGATCACGCTCGAGCGGCACAACTTAACGGCAAAGCGGAGCGTTCTTTTCACGCTGACTGCCGCCAGCACTCACAACGCAGCGACGTCGGGCCAATCACCGGCCGCCGCGCTGATGGGAAACACAAGAGCTCCCTCGCAGTTCTCCACCGCGAAGACAACCACGAGGGTCGTGTCCCCGTAGCAACCGCTGAGCCAGAGGCGGCGCCACGATTGCCGCCGCAAAAACACCGCAATGCTCTCGCCGGCGACGCTGTCTGCAGGAGGAAGACCTCCGAATCACCTCGGAAGACCGGGCAGCCGGGCGGGGTATGGGGGCGGCGCGCGAGGTTGGTGGATTCGGCGCAGCAGAGTCGCCGGGCAACGTGCGGAGCGAAGTCGTCCGAGCGACGCCCTCCGCGGAGGCCTTCCCACAAAACGGGCGAGAGCACCGTGAGGACCCGCTCGAGTAGGTCGACACAGCGCCGCACGAGATCGTGCGTGGTCAACTGCCCAGGGCCGGCACGTCGAGCGACGGCTGCGAGCTGTAGCACGCAGGGAAGGGGACAGAGCGGTAGCAATGCAAGCAGCAAGATCTCGTCGGACAGCTGGAGAGGTTGCACGGCAGCGAAAGGCCGAAACACAAAAAGGGCGGGCAGCGCAGTTTTGAGCCGGAGACTTCCGGGGGCGCCACGCGACCTGCATGCGGAGCGGTGGCAGACAACACCAATCGGGGCCAGACCTGAACATGAACGGAAGCGATAGGGAGGCGCACAGGTCCTGCTGTTTTCATCTAGCCGGGCCTGTTTCCAGGCGGTCGCTCAATCCAAGCTCGGCCCACGCATAGAGGCATCCCCCGCTGCCCAGCCAGGCGCCGCCTGGACGCAGAGACGCACCACGCACTTCGCACGTCTTCTCCCCGTCCAGGATGCGAAGCAACAACGGCATCTGGAAGAGCAAAATGCGATCGCCGGCGACGGGAGCGGCGCTGGGCGGACATTGCTGCGCCGGCGGCATGGCCACCCGCCTCGGCCCAGAGAGCGCACGAAAAGCTGCGAACACGGCTGCGGAAGGAGGGGCGGTAAAACAAGAAAGTGTGAGCATGCAAGCCAGGAGCAGGACGCCAACGCCCCCGACCCCTCAATCGGTTTTATGGCGCAGCTTCGCGACTGCTGCGACTCGGCGCCCCCCCCTTCAGAAGGTCAACCCGAAGATGTAAAGGACCAAAGGGGCACCGGCAAGTCAACGCGCCATACTTCCAACTGCAGCCACGCCTGCCAAAGCCGGAGGGTTGTAGAACTCTCTGTTCCACGATGCACGGCATCAATGAAAGCTCCGGCCCGGACCCAAACAATAGGAGCGACGAAGGAGAAGTCGTCCACGAAGATGCGGGCGGCGGCGGGGAGCCTTGCTGCCCGCGAGAGGAGCGCCTGTAAGGTTTCGAGAGTCTCCCGGGAAACGCGGTAATCGAAGACCCCGGCGAGGAAGGCGTGCAGGATGACAAAGAAGGGCAGCACTCATGGGGATGTCTTCGTCCTCGGAATCCTGTACATCCGCCCACCGGACGCCGGGGCGGAGCATGGCACAGTGCAGGAGAACGCGAGGGCGTGGTGAAAGACGGCAGAAGAATGGCTGCGTACAGAAAAGCGAACTAAGGGTCTGCATCAAAGACGCATGCGACACGGTCGCCACTTCAACCGTTTGGGCGCGACCGGTTCTTTTATGCACCCAGCTGCAAATCCTTGCAGTCGACTGCGCAGCAGCTGCTACACCTGACAGGCGGGCAGGGGGCGCGTGGGCAACGGTGGGAGGTGACTGACAGCTTCTTGCTCGCAGGTCTGGGTCTAGAGGCGGACGTCACCTTGCAAGGAGCAGCGTGCCGCGGCTGTAGGAGCGTGCCGGGGGCCAAACGCTGCAACTTGGACCACGCGCGGCCGCACGTCGGGAAAGAATCGGAGGGTTGAAATAGATGTAAGCTATACAGAGAAAACATAGAGGCACCCCGGCCGCAACGATGCACACGACTGGCAAAGTCGGGTCGCGTTGCGTCGCCGTCGCCGCAAAGGGCGCAATTGCACAAAAAATCAAAACAGAAAGGCTCGAAAGAACGAAGCACAAGGCAGCACTATACAGGCCCTCGTGGCCATTCTTCACATAGGCAAGATCAAGCCATTGCAGCCAAATGTCGCGCATCTCCCACGGCAAACCAGCATCGTTGGGCAAGCCAGTTCCTGCGCGAGCGAATGCACGGAGATCACGGGGCCTCTGGCTGAACGTGCCGGATTTGCCCTGTCTGGCTTCTTCGACCGGAGGCCAGAGAAAAAGAGGAAAAGCAAGGTGCCGGGGAGCGTTCAGGAAAAAAACGGATGAAAGAAAGGCAGGGTCCTCGTCCGAGAAGGGGCCGCCATGCAGCAGCTCCCGCAGCCGCGCCAAAATGTCGCTTTCCTCTGCCTCCACGCGCTGATCCAGGAACATGTAGGCCTGCAGATGCGTCGGTGTCTGCGCGCGAAGCGCCACCATGCAGAAGATGTTCCGCAGGTTGTTGAGCGCCAACTGGTCCGTGCCACCAGTGAGGTGCAAGGTGCGCAGCACGCCTTCATCCGCATAGGGGTCGAAGATGACAGCCGTCTCCGCACTCTCGGCAGGTGTGAGCGCAACCTCCCCGGACGCAGCAACAACGCCAGAGGGCGGATCCAGCAGGGTCGGCAAAGGTGAGGGGCACACAGTCAGTGACAGCCATGGCAGGAGCGGGGGCCGCCGCGGCAGGCGTGACAGGAGCCGCCAGCGAGGCCGATGCCGCAGGCAAGGTGGACCGGTCACTCTTGACGGACCCATGCTTGGTGCAGGAACGCGCCACCGCATCTGGAGAGAGCTGGAGATGGGTCTGCAAGAGGGCAACGGTGTGGGAATCTGAAAGCTCCTGCACAGTCGGCTTCACATATCGCTGCCCATCAGACGCCTGCAGCACACTCCCCATGCAGGCCCATGCGTGCCAAGCCCGCCGCGACGTGTTGGAGCCACCACTCGGAGCGCGTGGCATTGGAATGCCCCTGCGCTTTGCTCCACCCCCGATGCAACTGGGTCTGGCCGAGGTCAGCCTGGCTTAGCTTCCGGGTAACCATCCCCTTGCTCACAAAAGCGCAACCGGGCCATGTGAGGGCTTCCCGCATCAAGCCCAGGATCGCGGCATTGAGCTGGCGCGCCGCCTCCTGAACGGGGTCCAGCTGCACCTGCTCCTCGGAAAGCATGTGTACAATGGCCGGGGCCAGCACTTGGCAGAACAAGGTCGCATCCACCTCGCCGTCCGCTTGTGGCCGCAGTGGCGGAAGAGAGGCGGCGTCGACCCCTGCAAGAGACCGGCAAGACGAAGAGACACCGGGAAGGAACCGGGAACCTCGACTTAGAAAAAAGAACTGTGTTCGTCCATATTTCTGGCCTTGACCAGCCCTCAGAGTTCAATGAGATAGTCATGGGAGTCACATAGTTAGTGGGATAGACCTGCAAGAAGGGGAAGAGGGTGTTCGGGACAGGCTTGGAGACAATCTGTCTTACATACATCAGCTATGGGTTTCCTGTTCAGGGTCTGATAGGTGTCATTGAACATGCTATGTCTGGAGCCGAAAAGCCCAGAAGTCGAGTCGTCGAAGTCTCCGGCAGTTCTGTTCCGAGAAGAGTTCTCGAAGCATGTCCCCCTCAACCAGCAAGTGGGAGTCCAAACCTGCTTTACGTACAGCTTGGCATCAAATGAAGCGGTAGTCACCTTGTTCCGTGTCAAAACCCGGGGATCCACCAAGAGGTCTGAAGAACAAATACAGGACACATGTTTTGTTTTCGTCCAAAGTATTGCTGGGTCGGTATGGCTAGCAAATGACAAAAAGACCGGACCTTCACCCCGCTGAGGGCAAATACGTTGGAACTTTGGAACCGGGGCATTCTTAGCAAAGCCCTGCGAAACGTACGGTTGCGTCGAAGAGTTGTGAGGCATGCATGTTTTGTAAGCTGTGTGTCGCTGCCGATGTTCACATGCACGATTCAAGTACACGCTTCCTTTACAAAAGAGGATCCGCAGAGACCATGA